TATTTTATGCTTAGTTTTATTATAGATGTCACATGTATGTTTTAAAAATTAGATATTTATTACTGCGTCTTTTGTTAGAATATTTATTTTCTCTTATACTTTAGCTGAAGGACGTACTCTAGCGGCCAACATGCGAGGTATTGGTTTGTCAGGCCAAGAACTGCCTGAGTGGAAAAAACACATAACAGGTGGAGCTAAGGCCTCTTATGGAAAGAAAACTCAGCTATCTATTTTGGAACAGCGACAGAGTCTTCCTATCTACAAGCTAAAAGATGAACTAGTTAAGGTAATTTTATGTTTTTGTTTTACCATCTAACCTGACTTTTAACCATATTTTTGTATTTAAGTTGATAGGTTTTGATCCTGGAGAGCTGATTGTTTATGTATTTCTTATCCATGCCTTATTCAAAATTATTGTGAATTAATGCTTCATTTTTTTCTCTTTATTCCTTTTAAGAAAATTGAAAAGAAAATGTTATCCTGTTTTAGGAAGTGCAGATAATATTTGTTATATTTTAGTAATTTATGTAGCTCTTGATATATTTAATGCTAATATTCTTTTATCTATTTGGAAGTTTTCTAAGAGTTAAGTATAATTATATACATGTATACATACCAAACACTATGTTTACATGCATATCAATTATTTTTTGACAACAAGTTGTTTGTACGGGTGTTTCACCTTAACCCTAGAAGGACCACAGAGCATCTACCAGTGTCGAGTGCATACCTGTACTTCAAATTTTAAGTAAAAATAATAATTTTGATTCTATTACTACAATTTTTAACTCAAATATATTTTAGAATTAATATATTTTTTATTTTGTTCAAAGTCATTTCTGTGCAGCTCTGAGAAATCTCCTGTGTAAACGTTACACTTCAAAATTTTTTTATAGAATTTTTTATCCCTATACCAAAGCACAGACTTGTGTTTCCTGAGAAAGTATCATTGCTTTAGATTATAATTATTCATGCATTGTTTATCATATGATCTTCCTTTGTTTGAGGTTTTATTAGTACAGTCTTTTGTTATCACTATTTTGTATCATAGCACGTGGTGTGAATAATTACTGATGAAGCACAGATTTGAAAATAGCTACAGGCAAAGTTTAAATACTGTCCGATAGAGCAAATTGTAAACTGCAGAGTAAATAAAATGGTGTGAACAGTAATTTATGGTTTCATGACTAGACAGATCTTTAGCAGAAAATAGCAGCAGAATATAATGGGAAGTTTAGTAGACTTAAGAATAAACCACAGATCAAGAAATTCTTTTATAGTTTCTTTTTATTTCTAAATATGTTTTCACGTTAAATTATATCTGTTTGAAATCTACAAAAGTGTTATTTTTTGACAAGACATCAGGTAAGCTAAGTTAGGTTTCATTCATTAAATGTTATTGGTATTCGAAGAGTGCACTTAAATTATAAGAACTCTTATTTACTGAAGAATTTTTAGATATATAAATTGATATTAAACAACATTATTGTAAACAAATATATTGTTATCTAGCCCGACAAAGGTAATGGTGATACCATTGCAAAAGGTCACCAACAAATCTTTGTCAGTTTTTGCCATGCTTTTTATGATTTATAGCCAAAAGTAATGACTAATGCATTCAACAAAATAAAGTATCAAATGACTGGATATATAAAAATGGAATTTTCTGATCAACAATTAAAGAAATTGAAATGCCAAGAAGAAGAAGAAGGGAAGTATTTTTAATGTTTTTGTTTTTTTTCAAAATGGTGTCTTACAATAAAATTTTGGAAATTTCACATTATAAAACATTATAGAAATACCTAATCAAATTATATGATTTTTTAAAGCTGAAATACAATACTATTTAATAAGTTTGTACTAAGTTTAATGCAGTTTAGTTAAGTTTTTCCACTGTGAGAAGGTTATCAATGACACCCCTCTGGTCTGGAAAGGGTTAATGTCTGTGACTGGAATTTGACCTAAGTCTTTGTGTTTTAATAATGAAGCAACTACTTCAGTAAACTCTTGGCAAATGTATAACCAATTTATCTTTTTGTAGGTTTTTATTTGCTAACCCTTTGGCTACCATCAGGAGTATATTATGTACTTACATTTAATGTTTTGTGGCAACATGTATAATTTAATTACTAAAAAGAAAATTACAATCTCTTATTAGAAGTATAATTCACTTACCCGCTCTAAATGTTTTGTAAGGATGAAAATAAATATTGCCATACAAATATGCTTGATATCTTGGGAAAAGGTGGGTTATTGTTTGAAAAATGTTCTTTAAAATTAAGCAGTTTATAATGTTGGCCACTGGAGCACTTGCATGGTAAGTAATTTCAAAGTATTAGCTTAATATTAAGAGAAAAAAAAGTCATTACATTATTTTCAATTCCATATTCTTAATTGTTGCAGGTGTTATATCTGGTCAGTGGTCATCATTTGAATTATCATAGTTAGAAGACATACCTTTCTGACATTAAATATGACAACAACTAACTGGTGTGATAAACATCAATTAAACCTTCAAAACTGTGCTTAGCTGAATTTTTAAGAACAAAGAAAGTTTTATTCAGAATGTCAGTTAAAATGTTTTAATTCAAAGTAATCATGTTACAGGCAGTGTCTGAAAACCAAATCCTTATAGTTATTGGGGAGACAGGATCAGGTAAAACTACACAGATTACTCAGTACCTTGCAGAAGCAGGATTTACAACCCGAGGAAAACTTGGATGTACACAGCCAAGGCGTGTTGCTGCTATGTCAGTGGCTAAACGTGTTGCTGAGGAATTTGGTTGTAGGCTTGGACAAGAAGTGAGTGTTTTGAGATTTTCTCTACTGATTGTTGTGTATTTTGGAGACTACTCCTTCCTGCTTTTACAATTTCCAAGCTTCTAAAGATAGTCATAAATGTGTTGTTTAAAAGCTGGTATTATTTTCCTTTTTGCAACCTGTTGCCGTATAGCCCCATTTCATCCTTATATGAATTGTAAATTTCTAAACTTTTAGTTATTATATCAGAATTCTTTGTGATCACATGCCTTCAAATAATCATGTTTGTTTATTTTTTGTTTGCTACATAAAGGTAGTAAATTAATTTTGTTGGTTCTCTTGCACCTGGACCCCCCTTGCAGCTTCCACTGACATCTTTGATGTTATTATTTCTGATTTTTATAGTTGGGAAGTTTGCAGGTGTGTAGTATATAACAAAGTTACATAATGGTTTTTAATTCTTTATGAATTTTAAATTGTCAAAAAATCTAACATTACCATTGTGGTATCATACTGGGCATTCCTGCACATACATTCATAAAAATCAATAATTCATAAATATCATCATATCTGAAACATACATGATTCAACTATAAAGTGACACAATGGGTCACTTAACTGTTTTTCTAGTTTTTTTTTAAGTGTAGTGGAAAATGAAAAAAAAAAGCCGTGACACATATTATTTTATTCAGTTTCAGGTTTTTTGGTTTAACTTCATGTTATTATGACAAAAAGTATATTTGCTAGACATATAGTTGATGTTTTTATCTGTGTTGTAAATATAAAACCTTCACTTTCAATACATTTTCTAGGTTGGCTACACCATTCGTTTTGAAGACTGCACAAGTCCTGAAACTTTAATCAAGTACATGACAGATGGCATGTTGCTTCGAGAGTGTCTTATTGATCCCGATTTAAAGGGTTATGCTGTTATGATGTTGGACGAAGCCCATGAACGTACTATTCATACTGACGTTCTTTTTGGGTTACTGAAAAATGTAAGCTTAGTTTGATGTGTCAGTTTCACTGTAACAAAAATATTTTTAGCATAAATGATGTAAATGTATTAGAAACTTTCTAAAAAATTTTAGATGAGAAACATTTTAGAATTAATTTGATTAGTTTGTGATTAACCTTTAGATATTTTAGGGATGTTAAAAATCAAGAAATGTCTCATTAAAATCATCATATATATAGTCAGCATTTGAATGGTACTAAAATATTGTTTTATTATTTATTACTCTGTTTAGGCTGTCAAGAAGAGACCAGAATTAAAACTAATTGTGACTTCGGCTACCTTGGATGCCGTGAAGTTTTCCCAGTATTTCTTTGAAGCTGTAAGTAGTTTCATTTAAAGGAAAAAGTAAAGTAAAGATGGCTCTTTAATACTTGTTTCATTCAACAATATTTCTTTCTTACAACCTTTATGGTGCAAAAGGGCACCAACAAATCTTTGTCTGTTTTTGCCATGCTTTTTATGATTTATAGCCAAAAGTAATGACTAATGCATTCAACAAAATAAAGTACCAAATGAAATTTGTTAATGAATATCAGTCAAGTTTAATCTGACTGGATATATAAAAATGGAATTTTCTGATCAACAATTAAAGAAATTGAAATTCCAAGAAGAAGAAGGGAAGTATTTTTAATGTTTTTTTGTTTTTTTTCAAAATGGTGTCTTACAATAAAATTTTGGAAATTTCACATTGTAAGACATTATAGATTGGATATTTAAGTATCTTTTATTTCAATGATAAGTTACCAAACCTTAAAACTTTTATAACAGGATAATTATAGAAATACACAATGTCAATGATTTAAGTAGCTAAAGTAAAAAGTAGAATGAAGTAAATGGTTACAGCAAATTTTAATCACAGTACAACTTATTGTTTGGAATAAGAAATACTTTTTTATCATAAGAAATGTAAAATTTATGTATAGTTTCAAAAATTTATTTTAGTTTTAAAATCTAAAAATAATCAACTTTAGTAGTAAATTTTTTGCAGTGTACTGTTTTAAAATGTGAATAAATAATTTCAGTTCTTAAATGCTTGTTTAAAAATCTAATTAATGGATACAATTTAAAAAAATGTTGATTGATTTATAGCCCATCTTTACCATTCCTGGACGTACATATCCAGTGGAAATTTTATACACAAAAGAACCTGAAACGGACTATTTGGATGCTTCGTTAATTACAGTTTTACAGATCCATCTCACTGAACCTCCTGGTAAGTTTGATTTTTACAAGTTAAGCTATACTAATGCATCAAGTTTGGTCATTAGTCCTATGTTTCTGCTTTATGTTGCTGTTTTAATAATAGCAAGATATTGCTCTGTCATTTCGTTTTGCATGCTTTTTTAAATTTGCTGTTAATATGATTTTTTTTTCTAATTTAAGGCGACATCTTACTGTTTTTGACGGGTCAGGAAGAAATTGACACAGCTTGTGAGATTCTTTATGAACGTATGAAGTCTCTGGGACCCCAAGTTCCAGAGTTGATCATTCTGCCTGTCTACTCAGCACTGCCTAGTGAGATGCAGACCCGAATCTTTGATCCAGCTCCTCCAGGTTCCAGAAAGGTATTGTTTACATCATTACTTGTAATAACAGTCCAGTAACAAGTACGTCTATGTATGTATTGCAACAACAAGTACCTCCATATAATTACAGCAGTGAATTGTGAAATTTGGGAATGTAATTTGAAGCTTTTTACAAAAAATATTACCATATTTGGAATATTTTATTTAAATTGAATTAGCAAATATAAAACATTTCTGTACAATTTGAGGGTAAACTCATATGTTATAGCTGGTTTAACTTCAAAAGCAACTAGAAAAGGTTTTGTTAAGTAAATTCT